GCGGCCTTCCCCCACCTTCCCAGCAGCCAAAACCGCACGACTTCCGCTGGTTCGGGAAGCGGGAGCCGCATGTGACTGCAAGCCGCCGACAGAAGCACCTCAACCTCACCGGCCTCACCCAGCGCCGGGCCTCGCACAACCGGCACAATTCGAGGCCGACGAATGAAAGAAAGGCGAAACGGGCCAGCTTCTCTCAGGGCCCTCAGGAGAGCCGAGCCCCGCCCCGCCCCGCCCCGCCCCGCCCCGCTCACCTGCCACCTCCGCGCGCCCACCACGCTGCTGCCGCCCCGCTGCCGCCCGGAGGTGACGCCACGGTCGCGCGCCAACGAGGATCAGAGCGCCTGCCGCCTCCGCTCAGCAGCGGGCCGAGGAAAGGAGCGCGGCGCGCCGGAAGTGACGCACTCATCGACTTCGGTAAGAGGAGGGTAAGAGGCGGGCTGGCTCCACCTCTACTTCCGGGTTGGCCCGGGCCCAGCAGGAGCAGCCGGAGCGCGGCGTGGTGAGTGTGGAGCGGCGGGACGGCACGACTTTCGGCGCGGCTCTCTGCCGGGTGAGGCTCTGCCTTTATCGTCCTCACGGAGGCACCTCTTCCTCTTGGTGCTCTTCAGCGCTGCGGCCGCCCGGCTCCATTCCCCTCAGGCCCCAGCCCCGAGCCCTCGTCTCTATGGCGACAGCTCCCCCTCAGGGAGGTGCGGTGTCGCAGCGCCCAGCGGCCCTTGGAGGCCGGGGCAGCGCTCAGCGGGCACTGCGGGGAGCGGAACCGCCGCGCTTTGCCGGCTCGGGGTCGGCGGAGGAACGGGAGCGGAACGGGAGGGGCCCAGGTGGGGTCTGGGAGAACCCGAGGGGCCGCAGAGCTGTGGGGTTCGGGCGGTGCTGCGGGCAGCTCGTCACCCGGCCGCGTGGGATCTGTGCGTCTCGTTAGGTAAAAGGCCGGCAACCCTGTGATGGGATCACCTGGTGCCTCCCGAGGGACGGTGACTGATGACACAGGGAGAAATCTGTCCTTTGAGATGGGTCGCATTCCGATGGTCTTTATCTGCTTCTCTTGCACTCTGCTCCCCTGGTTGGCTGCCCTGTCGTCCCCCCCATTCTCTGTTATCTTCATTCCCAAAGCACAGCAGTGCTCTGTCCTGCCGGCTTGGCTGGGTAAACCCACATCCCTGAGGTGTCTCAGCGTTGCCTTCTGTTGATGGAACTTAACATTCACGTGTGTTTGTCTGCTTCTTAGCTTTCTATCTGTTGGCAGCTAACGATGACAGAAGCAATAAGATTCCTCCTTTCTTCCAGTTTTGCTGCTCAGACACTTTGACAAGTCGCATAGGTGACTTGAGGGAAGGGTTGCTGTATGTGTTGCTGTGTGTGACGGTGGCAGTTTGTCTGCAAAGTGCTGTGAAAGCAGGTTATCTGCCTCGAGCTGCATGTGTGAAACGTCCTCAGGGTCCTCTCTGCCCTTGTTCTCTCTGCTCTGCCGACAAGTGGGTATCCTGGTTTAGTTCATGTTGATTACGTGGGTTGGGAGGGGATGCAGCGTTACCCTTTGATGCCTTGGAGCATGTGAAAAAGGCTTCATAGTGACATTCCTCTTTCTTTTAGTTTATTGTTTCTGCAGCAGGGAATGGACTTTGTTATTATTGTTATTCCTTATTGGCAATAGATAATCAAAGATTACTTCATCCTTTGTTTTCAGAGGAGGGTTTGAACAAACACATTTCCAGTTGTGCAATGGTTGGTTAGTACTAGTTGTTAGTTTGAGCTAAGCTCCTTGTGCTACTTAGCAATGAAATCAGTGGGACTTGTAAGCTCTGTGGGAAGGGAGAGGAGAGCACTCATTGGCTTTGAAGTGGGAATTGGGAATGGGAAAGGTGAGTGTGCTGGGAACAGGGGCTGCCCTTCTGGCTAGAAACTTTGCCATGTCTGCTTCAAAGCTTTCTGAGTTGTTGTCTTTGAATGCCTTTTCAATCTGTCATAACTGTTTCTGACTGTATCATATTAGTGCCACTTGTTAGAATGTCTTAATGCGTATTTTGGGATCTCTGTGTGTGTTTTTCTCCTTAATAAGTTCTAATTTTAAAACAAAATGATTATTATTCCTGGTCTATAGTAGGAGTAGGCTGTTTTTTTCAGGTACAACTGCAATGAGAAATTATCACCTTCAGTTAGAACTTTAACTGCAGCTGGCTGGAGAAGTGACAGCTGGATGGACTTTGCTGTTCCAGGAGGACGAAGGGCGCAGCCTCAGGGCTGTTGCAACACTGTGCTGTTGCTGTAGCAGGTTGGAAGCACAGCCATGAGGTTTGGTGCCACACTGACCAGGCAGACCTGGGGAACAGTGCAGGCTGGTGGGTAGGTCAGCGTTTGGAAGCTGTAGAAAGAATACTGTCCCCACTTAAAAGGCTCGGAGTCGAGCTCCGTGGTTCATGTTACAGGCAGGGTGTTCTTACTGGATAGCTGAGGCAGCCCTAGTGTGACCTGTACTGGTTCCATCAGTCTCTAACTCTGGGTTCTTTTTGAGCTGCTTTCTAGCAGGATTCTGTTTTGTGTGGATGTGTTTCCTTGTGACAGTGACCTTCCTTTCCTCTCTGGGGCACAGGCAGCCTGCCCACGGAGAGCTGTGACACTGCCAGGATGTCTGCACGTGGCACCCCTGCAACTTGTTTCACTTAACGTTAAACCATCCTTTCCTAACAAAGATGTTCCAAAATCTTTTTGGAAAAGTAGAAATTTGATCTCTAAATGGTAACATTGCGCTTCTTTTTTTGGTGATTTCCTCTGGCTAGGAATTGGAAAATAGGTCTGGTGCACAGAGGCATAACCCACAAAAAGGAAACCTGCGGTCTTTAACTGAATTACTTGCTCTTTCCTTTGAGGGATTAAACTATTTTAGTTAGAAAAACGTGGGTTTTTTTCGTGTGGGAATAAATGTACTCCTATCAAAGTAGCCCATTATAGCTGTGTCTGTGGAGACTTTGTACATCTCTCAGATGTGTCCTCATTTACTTTAATTGAACTCTTCCCATGAGCGTTAAAGGACTGGAAAAATAGTTACTTTCTATATTTTCTGTGGCTTTTAGGAGGGTTGTTAACCTTCAAGTGAGGGAGTCTGTCAGCCCTGTATCACATGGTGAGCAGCGCTGTCTCTCTGTAGGTTTGGGAGAGCTCTCACTTTGGTCTTGAATGCCTCCAAAGCTGAGGACGTATTTGTTCCACTGGCTTCAAAGGCAGAAGAAGTAGTGAAGAGTGCCACAGTTTTACGGAGCCTAAGGGGTATGTAATGCTTTGCTTTGAGACCAATCTCATCCCGTGTTTAAAGGTGTTGGTGTGCAGGCGGTCTGCCTGCTGCAGGAAGGTGCTCTCAAACCTTTGCTGTGCCAAGGAACTGTGAATGTAATCTCTGTCCAAAGCGCTGCCTTTGTTTGGGGTGCCTGAGATCTGAGAGAACTCTGGAAGCCCAGCTTCTGTTCTTTGTTTTCTTATTGTGATCGATGAGCAGGGAGGCAGGTGAAGAAGAAATCGCTATCAGAAGAGTTGAGAAGGAAGAAGCAGAGTATTGGCTGGATTGGAGCATGTGGCTTAAAATGCAAGAAATGAGAAAAGGCAGAAAATGGTGTGCTGCTGATGTTCCCCCCCCAGGCACCTCAGCAGAACAACCTGAACTATAAGCATGGTTCCAACAGCTGAGTGACTTGTAGCTGTTAGAGAAGAGAGTCAGGGCTCCAGGGTTCTGCAGGGGCAGAAGTGTGAGAATTAGGGATCAGACACCATGTGGGAAAGCAGTGAGATCACCAAGTTCGTGTCACAGCTTCCTCACTGTTTCAAAGCCATAGAAAGGAGTCCTCAAAGCATCCTTAGTGCAGAAGTAAGGATAGTCAGCTCTGCCAGCACCCAGCTGCCTCTTCTTTCCTTTGACGTAAGTGCAGCAGCACAGAGCAGCCTCCGAACAGCAGGAAGAAGGGACTTCTGTCCTCTGTGATCACAGAGTGCAGAACTTGCAGTGCCTCCTGCTCTTCTGCTCCAATAGCTTGTTATGCTTGCACTGACACTGAAGCACCAGTCACAGCCTCGACAAGCCCTTCCCGTTGGCCAGTTTACATTTTGCCCAGCAATAATTGTCTTTTTGTGCTTAATGTTATGGATCACACTACGGCTGAATAATGCATTATGGGCTGTTTGTTCAGCCCCACAAAGAAGCTCTGTGTGATACAACAACAGCTCAAAGTTGTTTTCCTCACTCTCTTAAATAGTTGATATCTACTTTTGCTGGTAGCTGCTCAGTGCACTGGGTATATTTCTTTTGGAATATGAGCTGTGGGACTGTTCAGGGTTCGAGAGGAGTGATGGTCTGTTTAGCAGCTGGGACTTGATTTTCTTTGGTGAGCTTCCATAGGTTTGGTGTGGACGTGAGGACGTGGACTCAGTTAATGAAAGGTCACTGCAATTTGGCTCAGTCTGCTATTCCAATTATCCCCAGGTGAAGACATCCCTGCAGGAGCCATAACTCTTACTGGTATCATAGAGGTGGGCAGACTGGGGTGCTGAGCTGTGTGCACTCCCTCCTTCCCTCATGCTAATATACTTTAAGTATAATTAGGCTGCAGTAAATTGAGAAGGGCTTTCTGCAACCAGGAAGGGGCTGGGTTCTGAATCGCTGCCCTTTGGGACTGACCCTGTGATGGGCACCAGATCTCCCAGTCACCTGTGCTCTCAGATGGGAGTTTTTATAGAGCACTTCTGCAGAGTGGTGGGACTCTAGGACCTTCTTAACAAGTGCTCAGCCTACACAAGTGTGCGAGGGGGTTATTTGTCTTTGATGTAAATACTGATCTGTGTACTCGAGGTAGTGTTACGCAGAGCTAATCCCAGATTAGGGCCTTCCCAGGCAGGCGGGATGCAACTGGTTCTGCTGGCTGTGGTCGTGGAGGCTGTGTGTAGGAGCAGCACAGCTGGGAGCTGCAGAGATGGGTGGGTTTTGTGTGGCAGTGGTGCTGAGTGCAGTGCAGAGGGAGTGCTGTGCACGGCCGAGACCTTCATGTCCAACACAGAAAGAGTCTGTATTGCATGAACTGGCTTGCTTGAAATGGAATGAAGCTGAATGCAGAGAACAAACTGAGACTTCAGTTTTGGAGGCTGGATTTGCAAAGGAAAAAGGTGAGTTTCATAATGAGCAACGTGTGACTTCCACTGATGGCTTGAGTAAAATTTTGGGGTGTTTATCTTTAAGAATGTGACTGCAGTTCCCTAACATGGAACTCTCCTGCGTGGTGCCCCAGGAGCAGCAGCTCCTGTGCAGCTGGCAAGTGTGGATGCCCACTTCCAACAATGCTGTTCAGAGAAGGAGCTTTCTGTGTGCAGTATGTGCACATCTGGCTTGTGTGTGTGTACATGGATCTGATATATGTGCATAAATACATGTACAAAGCAAAACCCCCATGTAAGTGCCATCACTAGAAATTGAATGCTCCACAGCCTGCGGGGATCCGGTGCTCTGATGAGACCAGGAGGTGGCCCAGCATATGATCCGTATGTCACTGCAGTAAGTGGTCTGTGCCCTGCAGCCAGGCTGTGCTGACTCCAGCCACCTGCTGGGGGAAGGAATTTTGCATTTGTCTGCTGTTGAATGAATGGCTGCAGAGCTCCTGCTGTACCACCTCAGTCCTCTGCTGCCCTGAGCTCCTTGGGGAGCCCTGCAGTTTAAATGGGAGTGAAGGTCTCACTGCTGTTTACCAAACTTAAAGTGCTGCTTTGGCTCTGAAGGCCAGTGTAAATCAAAGGGGAAATATCTTTTTTTTGCCATAAAATTTTAATTTCCTGCACTGGGCAGTTTTATATAACCTGTCATTTTAATATCACACAGTTTCCCAACAAAAGCACCGTATCAAACCCTGTAAATCAAGCTTCCTTGCAGTGAGAATTGTAATGCAAACGAGTTGCTTTAGCTTTGTTGGGCTCTGTTCTCCAAAATGAAATTCCAGAGGCTGGTCTAAGATTCATGGGAGGGTGTTTAACGCCGTGGCTCTGGCTGGCTGCTGCTTGTGTTCAGTTGCACAAGCGTTGTCAACTATACAGAATGAAAGCAGCTCTTGCAATGTTCCGTTTTACGCTGGCTTCCAATTGCTGTGCAATTTCCTTTCCTGGATAAGGAAAACCACAGTGGTTCTTGTGAAACTTTAAGGCTGATCTCATCAGAAGAGAGACTGAACTTGCAGAGAACATTGGCTTTTCCAAATGCTTTTCATCAGGCAATGCAGAGCTTTCCTTTTCTACTTTAGAGATATTAGACCGTACGATGTGAGATGCAACTCTGGATCTTGGTTACCATGTTGAGGGGTTCTTTTTATGAATCTGGGAGCATTTTGAGATCTGCTTGCATGTGGCTTACCCACAGAATAGATCCTCTCTAATGTGCGAGTCAAAGCCTGAGCTTCACTTTGGGAATGAATGGGAGCCCATGCAATGCTCTGCTCCTCCTGGAGTGCCAGCAGGGGGCTGCTGCAGGGTGCAAGGGCTGTTTCACAAGCTTTTGTTCAGTCATAGAAATGAGGGAGTTTTGTCACTGAAGTGCAAAAAATTCGGATTTCTGTAGGTGGAAAGGTTTTCAACTTTGTCATTTGTGGGAATGGAAACACTTCTGCTTTTTCGTGATGTAATGTGGGATAACTGTGGTTTGGGGAGCTGCTGGGTGTTTGCATGCATCCTTTGACTACTGAGTAAACAGAGTCTTTGTAGCAGCGATGGAGACATGATGCTCTTTGGTTTTGTTCTGTTAGATCCCTGTACGTGAGTGATCTATGAAATGGCAGAGAATGGAACAGACTGTGACCAGAGACGCATAGGAATGAGCAAAGAACAGCACAATGGGAGCTTCACAGGTAGGTAGGAAATGTCTTCATGTTCTCAGCTGGTCAGCTTGGTGTGTAAGTGACCAGCACAGGATTTGAAAGGAATTTATGTTGGTATGCTTTATGCCGAGATAATGCAAAAGGAGACACCTGAATTACTACTGGAAACTTCAATCTGGAGAACTTCTGTAATGTAAAGCCACAGAATGGTTTCGTGCTATCTGCTGCCATTCAGCTTCTCTCTTACAGACTTCTCCTTCCAGTGTTCTTACTCTGTAGCTCATATGCATGTGATCCTCTAACAGTGGTAGGGGCTGCAAGCTAAAAGCTGAAGAGTTGGTATGGGTAGTAAAATCTGTTATGCTCTGGGAGAAATTCAGTTTTCAGTCTCCCAGTTTCTAGCTTTTCTGTTGACAACTTCACTATAATGCATCACTTTCAATTGTTCGTCGCTCGCAAAATAGTTAACAGCTTCATCTCCTGCCTTGCGCCTGTTGTTCTTACTGGTAATTCTGAAATCAGCTTGGATTGGTGTTTAGAATTTGTGAAAGGTAACCTGGGAACATTTAATGAAGACCTTTGTCACTGAATGCTCTGCGTGGTGTGGAGATGGTTATCATCTCAGTTGGTTTCCTGTCTGCCTTTGAATGTGCCAGTTCCATATTTAATTAACTTTTGTAATCAAGTGATTTCTCAAGTTGTTCACAGGCTTACACCACTCTGCAGTCTCTTACAGCGTTTACTAAAATCGTACAAAGTTGCAAAAAACCCAGGGCTGAAGCATTTTTATTAGACTTATGAAGTGGAAAAAGTGGGGAACAAAACTTCTTGAGCAAGGAATGAGCTGAGGTTGAAAGAGAAGCGTGTGCTTGTGTGTATGGAGCCAACCAAAGCCTTCCTGGGAATGTGGATGTCCAGTACTTGCTGCTGTGGGATTCCTGTTAGTTCATCTGAAGCAACAGGCACTTACAGCTGAGGAAAATTAGATGAGCACCGTGACTGAGGTGCAGTTGGTGTTACGGTGGTGCTGCACTGCAATGTAACCAAATCACTGTGGTTAGAAGCAACGAAATGTATCGTGTCAGTTTAAGTGAGGGGCTGTGGTGTGTGAGCAAAGCCTTCTCACAGGATCGCAGGAGCACTTCCCTTCTGGCAGGCTCCTTTTGGAGAAGCTGAACAGCCTGGCAAGGCTTAACATAACCCAGGGATTCTTACTGGGAGGGCAGATACTGTTATCCAGTTACACGGTGACTGGGTGTGTGGAGAGCACATGTAATCCAATCTGCTTCGATTGGAGCAGTCTGAGAATAACTTTGGAAGAGAACCAAACTTGAAAGTTCAGAGTGAAATGTGGGCTGTGCAGTGGGCGATAGAGATGCCTTTGACCTGGTGTGTTAGCTGATCTGAAACTAATGGTGCATAATGCTAATACATTTAACAGACTTCTTGCACCCTGCGCCCATTCTGGAATGGTTGTCAGCTACATGGAGGGGAAAAAAAAACCTACATTTCTTTACTGGAGGACACGTGATTTCTCATGGCTTTGGAGCAAATGCTTTGTGATCAGTGAAGGTGATGAGTGGAGCTCGTGTTCACTCCCTAACAAAACAAATAATTAACAGTGTAAATTTGGGTGGGGTGGAATCTGCACTGTCAGCCTGTGCTTTCATATTTCTGTTGCTTTTCATTTGCAGATTCCTCTTTGTTGAGTGAACGGAAGCGAAGGGACCGAGAAGAGAGGTTGAATATTGTCCTCTGGAGGCAACCACTTGTTACCTTGCAGTATTTTTTCCTGGAAACTCTAATAAACTTGAAGGAATGGACCATAAAGTAAAGATAATTTCTTTAACTTCTTCTAAGCATTCTGGGGAAACCCATGCTGTGATTCAGTAGCTCACTCTGACATCTCACTTTCCCCAATGATTCATAGCTTTAAAACTCTTTTTCCAGAAAACATTTATGTTTGTCCCTCAAAGGCAGCCACTGGCACATGCCACGCTTCCAGCTGCATACCCAGACCTTCTACCTCAATGACAGAAGTGTACAGTGGTCAGGTCTCAATGGAAGATAATTGCAAACTTCCTTCCTGAGAGTTGAATGCTTCCATTTGAAAGAATGGGACAGTGTTTAGGGATCCTGAAGGCAAGAGATCTTGCAGTTAAGACTGCAGTGTTAAGCACTGATCTTTTAATGTGTGTTAGTATCACTTTATGATCTTTGAGTAATTTAGCTAGGGCAAGGTTCAGGATTACGTGGAATTTGTGTTGGTGTTTATTTCTGGTGCTGCAAAGAGGACTTTGCTTCTAAGCTGTGTGGTCCCTTTCATAGCAGGAAATTACTTATTAAAGCATTTCTAGCATCATTTACACCCTGGATGGAATGGGCTTTTATTCTAGTTGTAACTGCTAATTGCATGTTTCCAGCATCTTCTGCTAATGCTCCTTTGCAGAGAGCTGAGGCTGGTGATAATGGGCTCTGTTCACAGACTGCTGGGCTGGGTTTGATGTGCTGACACATAAGTTCAGTTGATACAAACTTCTGTTTTCCATTTTCATCTTCTGCAATGAAAAACAGCAGATTTACTTAGGCTGAATCCCATTTTGCACTCCCCAAAATAATCTATTCCCCAAAGCCCAATTATTTTACATTCTTTCAGCTACCACTGGAAACTGTTTCTTTGAGCAGTGCTTTCCCACATCTTGCCTTAGCTGTTTCAAACAATCTCCAACCGTCACAGAAATAGAATTTGAGGTGTTATTTTAAGCTATTTCCCAGCTGTCTAGATATTGCATTTTATTACAGATAATACTTGCATCCTGAATTGCACAGCACATCTGTGTTATGTACCACTACCCAACACAGAACTACACAACCACAGCTGTGTTGTGTAGCATGACCATATATTTGCAGAAAATAAGACTGTACCATGAGCTGTGAAGGTGACCTCAAATTGAATCTTAATGGTTTCCTGTGTTCCACTTGAGTAAATTGCTATTTAAATGGTGACAGACTTGAAAATCTAATTCTTGCAGTGATATGAACAGCTACTTTTTTCAGCTTGCTAAATGTTGAAACATTTCTGAATGTATTTCTTTATTACACCTCTTGTATTTCTACAGGTTTCTGTCTTCCATCTGAATTGATATCTTACAGTTATAGTTTGCTATGTCTGTGCTTTTATAGCACTAGATGTCAGAAAACAAATGTATTTGGCCACATAATTAAGGAATTTGTATCAAGCAGGGTTGTTGCAACCTTGTAAAATTGGTCACATGCAAAAGCTGGCTGCCAAATTACATAGAAAAACACTTTTCCCCCTTACCTGCAGTAGTTTGCTGATACTTCACAGTCAGTTAAAACATACATACTAAACTTTGAGCTGTCACAAAATAGATTCTCTTCAACAGATCAAGAGAACCAGAGTAGTGTGTGGATTTTTGCTGTGGCTTTGCCCACCAACAAGTGGACTGAAGTGAGCCCTGCTGTTACCCACTCCCATCCCCTCTCCAGGGCCAGTGCCTGCTTTGTTCTGTGCTTGATCAGGAATGCTGCCCTGGGTATGAAATGCTCTTGTTAAAGCTGAACATTTGATGTTTAGGTTGTGTTTGCTTCCAGACAGCGACTTTGTTTTTCTTTATTTACAAACAAAACAGTGAAGTAGAGATTTTCCATAGGAACAAAGGCTCCCCAGGTATTTCTGGGGAGGTTTGTTTTTTATAATAGCAGACTTCTCACCTGCTGTACTGACTGCATCCACACAATCCCACTCCACAAAATAAGTTACTTTTAAATGAATGCTAAGTTATGAAAGGCTCTAACTGCCATTTGTCTTTTAAGATTGTGGCATCGGCGAAGTATCCTGGTGTCTTTTTTACTGATGCTTGCAGTGCTTACAGCTACGTATTATGTTGAAGGAAGACATCAACAGGTATGAGGTTCTCGAGTGGCTAATGCTTGTACCTGTGCTAAACTAGCTGTGCTGGGGATTGAATGGGATCTTTGTGAGATTCTAATGTGTCTTTCGAGCCCCTGTTTGCTGAAGGTTTTTTGTTCATGACTCCCCTTGTGTTGAGTGTGGGTGTGTTGTATTTGAAGGATGGGGGAGGATCAGCTGTGTATGTCATCTATCCTGTTGCATACGTAGGTGTTCCATTTCTCAGCTATTCTTGACTGCGTAAGCACACCTCTGATGCTGCAGCGCTCCTTAGTTGTGAACAAGTTTTCAACAGTGGTGTGAGCTCTGGAGAGAATGTTAATCTGAGTCATGATAGAACTTCATGGATTTCCAAGAAATGTTTCTTGCTATGGAAGGGGGGTCCTGAGCAATCAGGGTAGGCATGGATGTTGACATAAAATGGCTTCGTGGCTCAGGTCTCTCTCTCTGTTGTATCTTATGTGCCTATTGTCTTAAAATGGCTGTTTTAAAAACTTAGTTGTTTGGGGTTATGTGATGATTAATGTTTTTGCATCACTTGAAGAAGTGCAGGCGCTTGTCCCAAGCATGAGGAGATGATGTCTATTCCTTTCCCTTCTCCATTTCTCCTCGAGTTTCATATTTTCCCTGGAGGCAGCCCTTGTTAACCCAGCAGGACATTTCCTCGTGCAGCTGACTCATCTTAGTGCTGTTACTGTGAAAATCAGCAGGTTCCCAAACTCGGGGAACTTGTTTACTGTTATGCTGTGTTTCTAACTGGTGGACACACAGATCTGGAACAGGAGTTTTGGCCTTTTGGAACAGGTCTCATAGTGCAGTGAAATGATTTTTCAGCTCATAGCATCCTCACTCAATCCCGTGCTTGAGCCTTAAGCAGTGGCCATTTCTTCTTCCTGATGCCCAAACGCCTCCTTCATTAAGAAATCCTGCTTTGGTGCCTTCATCAGCACGAAGAGCAGAGCTGGATGCTCATCACCACTAGATGGCTCTTACAAACGGGTTGAGTTGCACTGCCCTGAGGTTGCTGCTGGCCGTGGGCTGAGCATGGCAGCGCCTCCCCAGAGCTCTGCAGGAGGCTGCTGGGAGAAACGTGGCACCTGTGGGACTGGCAAGGCTTGTGCAGCCTGCAGTGTCCTCAATTCTTCATCCCTCTCCTTGAGAACTTGCTGATCATAAGGCCTGTAGGCTTTTCATGTCAAAGAGTGTTTTCTGTACAAGTCTCTGCTGTAATTGTAGTAAGCTGCAAATGGAGGAACCTGGTTCAGTTATTACAATGCAGAACATCACCTGTGTTAGCTTGTAGCTTTAACATTCTCCTCTGAGAGACATCACCTCAGTTGTTTCTGTTCTCTTTTGTGATTTCTCTTTCAGTATGTGCGGTACATGGAGAAGAAGTTCTTCTGGTGTGCCTACTGGGTGGGATTGGGCATCCTGTCCTCTGTCGGTCTTGGAACAGGTCTTCACACCTTTCTGCTCTATTTGGTAAGCGTATTTTATGCCCCATGTTTTATCTGAATCATGTATTTCAATTGTGTGGTTTTAAGATCTTGTGAATAAGGGATCTTTCGTAAGTCCAAATGTCAAATACTTTTGAAGGAGAAGAAATACTCGGTGTAATACTGCAGTGCACTATGAGTACTCATGTTGCTCTGTGCTGCATAGCCCTGCTGTGTAACTTGTATGCTGTTAACTCTCACTGTGAAACAGAGTCAAAATCAGCAGTGTTCTGTGCTGTCATTTACTGCTATAAATAAAACGTTTTGTAGTGCTCAGCTCAAATGTTTCCATTAACAATTTTTCGGCATGCTCTTCATAGCTTAAAATGATCACTTTTGTATCAGAGAGACCAAGAATAGGCAGCTGCTTGGAGGTTCAGTCTGTATTCATTTTGCTTTGATAATAATGGCAAGAAAAATGTCTTTCTACCAAGAGAAAATACTCTGTGTTGTTCTGAAAGTGTATCTGATGTTGTTTATCTCAGCTCAGCTAGGAAAGTTGGGGAAATGTCTGGCTGTGTTTTGCTTTTGGCCATTGGATTAGTTCCTTGTTTATGAAACCACTGTCCTGGATTTAAGAAAAGGATTCATGGCCACGAAATAATTAAAACCAGTTTATGCAACAAATGTCATCTTGTATTTGGGACAATTACAGATGTTTACTTTCAGAACTGCTTTAATCATTAACAATAACACAGAAAGCACTACAGGAAACAAAGAACTCGTGTTTTTCCATGGAGTGAAGCAGTGCCTATGAAATCCAGAGGCATCTGTATCAGCTGCGTTTGCAGCAGTGTCAGCCTGTCAGTGTGGCTTCTCTCCTAAAGGCTGAAAGTACAGGAGAAAGGAAAGTGCTGCTAAACAGGAATGAGTTAATGCACACACACCTTATGGGTTAAGACTTCTCCTAACCAGAGGGATGGCATCCTCTTGGGAGCTGTTTGGAGAGTTTATAGTGCTGTCCCTAGTCTCGGTTTTTACACAGTTGTGTCAGAAATCTGGTCATTAACTGATGTTTTCCATTGTTTGCAAACTGCATCTGACACTGGGTTATGTTTTGGTGTACATCGATAGGAAGCAGAATAGGAAAGGCTCCCATTCTGTACCATTGGCTGCTCCCACACTGCTATCCTGTAAGGAAAGCACTTTTTATTCTCTTTTTCTGTAGGAAGGTGGAATGGACTGAGCTTTCTTTTACTCTGCTTTTGGAAATCGGGCTGTTTCCTTAGTTCTGAATTACTTCCATTCAGTGTCACAACGTATCGCTCGAGTTTCATTGGAGCCCTGTGTTAGGCCACAACCTGCTCTGACATTTAAGTCTCCGTTGGCTTAATTAGCGATTAGCGAGGGTGTTAAGTTCAGAATAAACGCACTTCTGGGGAACTTAACGTGGTGGAGCACACGTGGCTGCGTGCCACTAGATGGCAGTGGGAGTGTAGGAACACGGGCTGATTGCCCTGACTGCACGTTGCCATTTTAAGTGCCAGATCTGTTACTGTTGTCGGTACAGCAGCAGCAATACACGTAAGTAAGGCACTCGGCAGTATTGTCCAGTCCTTGATAGCCACTGAGCTTGAGGCTACACCTTGTGTGAAAGGGAACAGGAACTTGAAGCAGTCGCTGTCACTTTTACAGGTAAATTATTTCAGACTCCTGGATTTAACCCTCTGTGAACAAAGCAGTCAGGAGCTCCAGCTTTCAGGAGGAGTTTTAAAATAATTTACTGTTTTAATTGTCCAGCAGGCTCCTCTAAAAGTAGAAATGTAATAGCTGTGGCCAAGTCACTGTATTAACTTTCACATGAATACATATCTGCTTCCCATGTTCCATATACTTTAATTATGTTTCTTGACTATGGCAAACCTCATTCTTCCATTGATTCAAAGAAATTAAAAGTAAAAAACCCAAAACAAAACCAAACCCTCCTGTTTCAGTGCCGGGATTTGCAGGCAGCAGAGAACAGATTCTGTAAGTGTTTTAAAATTGCTCATAATTAATTGCTCATTTCAAATCTGTGTGTAGGGTGAGATTGTTGGGAATGCAATTACATGCCTGGAGAACAATGCTCTCAGGCCCACCCATGAGCTGCTGGGCTCTTGTTGGTGCTTGCAGCATTGTCTCTGCCACCGAGGGCTGAGGGGTAGGAATTGCTGGCATGTAGGCACCTGTTGGTGCAGTGTGCTGAGTTGCTTCAGCTGTGACACAGGTGCATCTCTTGTAAATACAGCCCTCCTGGTGCCTGCAGCTCATTCACAGCACGCTGTCTGTGAGCACAGCCTGCTAACTGGGCACTTCACTGCTTGTGCAATAGGTGCAGTATGTGAGTGACTCTGATGTTTGCTCTCCTGGCCCGGTGAGCTTTTTTCCAGTGTTGAGAACTATCATTTATCTGCATTCTTCAGAGCATCTACGCCAGCCACTCTGTTGTAGGAGAGATCCAGGGCTGAGGGTCAGGAAACAACGGGCTGGCTTAAAGCAGAGCCTGCAATCCTGAGCAGCCTCTGTCTGGGGGCACAGCACTGCCCCCAATGCTGTCAGCTCACATCTGCTTCTGATTTTGTTGGTCACCAGAACGCTCTTGCTGAATGATGTTGGTCTGAGAGGGAAAGGTGGGTTTTGGCAACAAAAAACCTGCGATCAAACTGACATTTCTGCAGTTCAAGGACTTGCTATATATAATTAGAGGATCCTCATGTTATCTGCTGCGTTGGTTCCCAGGTCAGTGCTGTCTGCTTGGTCGTAGCCAGCAGTAAGTGTAAAATTTGATATTGCTTTTGAGAAAGGATCCTCCAGCTGCAGCTGGCACCGAGCGCAGGGCTGGCACAGAGCAGGTTTCAGCACAGCAGTGTGAAAGCTGTCTGCTCTTCCAAGAATCCTCTTTATTCTGACACATTCAAAACAAGTCTGCTGGCTTTTATTCCCAAAGCCCATTAAAGTCATTTCAGGATTCTTTAAAAACACTTTAAAAATAGTAATCACGATATGGTGCTGTAGGAAATAAAGCTATTAGGATTAATGACTCCAAGGGTTTAGCAGCATGCAGGGCTGTCGTTCTGGGGGCAGAGTTTAGACTTGATATGTCTGCTCTTATATTGATGGTATATTAAAAGACAAATGGCATGAATTGCTTAATTGCAGGGAGATGACTTCTCATGCTTGTGGAGTGAAGGAGCAGGCAGTGCTGGTGGGGTGCTGGGCTGGAGCTGCCCTCTGCCATCTTCATACTGCTGACTTGGTTTCAGTTCAGCTCTGGCAATGGATTGCAGATGATGTGATCGAGGGAAAGGAGATCAGCTTAGAATTCATGCCCATCAGAAAGCCTCGTGCGAGAGCCAGCTGATACAAGTCCCTTCTGTATATATGCAGTGTTACAATCTGTAGTGGTGGGGGATGAATGGGAGCGAATTCCTTACAGGTCAGAAGTGCTGCGCGAGTTCTGGCTGCCTGCAATTGTTTGTGTTTTTGTTTTTTTTAAATCCCCATCTCTGCTCTCTTGCTGATAGAGCCAAGTGGAGCAACTGCCGGAGAGCTCTGCTCGGTGGCCGGGCTGCAGAGCAACACAAACAGGAAATGTGAGGTACAATAGGAATGCTTTGTGCACGGAGGTCAGAAGAGAGCTGGGATTTTGTCAAATGTGTGGGTTTGTCACCTCATTCTTTCTCGGGTGTTTTGTAGCAGAGAAGGAGCGTGGCAATAATTTCAGGCCTTGAGAAAAGACTGAAAACTGCCTTTAAAGAGAAGCACGTTGCAAAGACAGTGCCTTCATTGACTGGGCTGACTTTGGAGAGCCCTCCGGGGTTTATCTGGGCTGGAGGGTTCAACATCTTGCTTTTGTTCTGAATTGGTTCCAGGGCTTGGCTATGGCCAGAGGTCACGTTTTGGCCTCTGGAGAGCACAGCAGCTCACAGCCAGAGGGAGTCACGTTCTGGCCCAGTGCAAAATGAGCTGAGTTTAGAGTGGGAGCACTGAGAATCAGACACGTCGTGCAGTCGTGAGCTTGTGAACTTTTCCCAAAAAAAGCCCCAAAGCAGTGTTGGCATGCATCATCACAAAACAAACACCCCCACGCCCCTCTTTCCTGCCAGGACTACTGAACGCTTTTTAAAATCGCATTTGTTTCAGTGATCCAGGCCCTCACAGCCAAACTTGTGAGGAGACCCGAGGTAAAATCACAGAAGTGGTTCTCAAAAGAAAAGCTTACACAGCAGGGCTCACTCCAGCGTTGTGAAGTACGCGTTGTAATTTGGAAATCCACAGAATTTATTCTCATTCTTTTCCCTGTTAATGAGTGACTTTAATACAGGAGTATTTTCTCAGTGATTTTCTGCTTCATAAAAAAATTTGCTCTTTTTTTTTTTTTGTAGGGGGAATCATTCAAAATGATCATGAATAACTGATAGGTGATGTGTTCTGTGTGTAAAGGAAAAAAGCCAGCAGGAGAACCTGAGCTGCCCAACCAGGTGGGGGGACACAAGCACGCTCCCCCTCTCAGCACTGAGTTATTGTTGAGTTTCATATCCACTCCTTGCAGCTCTTCAATTCACATCAATTGGCAAGCCTAGGAAATAAAACCTGGTTCAGTCTAATATCTGTGATCAGGTTACTGCTATTGAATTAAGGCACTTAAGGGAAAATATGTGCAGAAGACAGAATTCAATTGTAAAGCAAGTTGAAATGGAGCCTGTTTGTGTAAGGCTGGTATGCAACGTATTCTTTCATTTGTTTCCTCCATGCCTTTAAACCTGCTTCCTCCAGCTGTCCTGCACTCTGCACAATGGAACATCCTGGAATACTTGAATCAACACAATTCACAAAATCACTTCTTCGCTTAACATCTCTTGTTGGGAACTGCTGCCTGCCGTTCACATGGGCTCTGTTCTGTTTGAAACTGCAGCTTCTGTGTTTGTGATGTGCTGATGAGTTGAGATGGGCACTGCTGCCAGATGAGCTGAGTAGTAACCTGGGTGCCTTCCTTGCATTTAAAAC